TTCTTTTATTTATTTATTTATGGCTGTGCTGGGTCTTCACTGTTGCACATTGGCTTTCTCTAGTTTCGGCGAGCATTGTGGTGCTCAGACTGCTCATTGTGGTGGTTTCTCTTGTTGTGGAGCAATGGACGCTAGACACACGGGCTTCAGTAGTTGCAGCTAGTGGGCTCAGTAGCTGTGGCATGCGGGCTTAGTTGCTTCGCAGCATGTGGAATCTTCCCAGGCCAGGGATCTAACCCATGTCCCCTGCACTGGCAGGCAGATTCTTATCCACTGCACCACCAAGGAAGTCCCCAGAATCCATTTTGAGATGTCAGTGATATTCAGTGAGAAGCAGAGGAATAAGAGAGAAGAAAAGGGATGGGAAACAAACGAGTAAGCTAATGAAACATGATGGGGAAGCTAAAGAGAAAGAGAGCACTCCTTATCACATCCCTCTGCTTTTCTCAGATTGGCTTTCCACCACACTGCCTCCCAGAAACAGAGATTCCTCCAAAACCTGCTGAGAAAAGGCGAGAGAGTCACATGGGCCCTGGTGGGATAATGCTTGTTTTATTTGAATAAGAAGGAAACTGTGTTAATAAACTCCTGTGACATTTAATGATGTGCTTTTCATTTTGAACACATCATTGCTCAATATTGAATCCATCCATTTTGATCATAAACACCAGGACCACGGAACTCTCGCTTTCACCCATATATAAATAAATAATAGGGACTTATTTTGCACTCTGAGCAAGAGGGAGGATTGTAACTCCCCTGCATGCGTTTGCATCTTATGAACCCTGCTCAGCCGCATGGCCTCCCATTCGTCTCTCTGGAAATCCAATTTCCTTCTTGCAGGTTCGTCTGCCAGTTTTCTAATTTTCACATCAAACTGCATATTACTCATTGTCAGCTGGCTGTTCTGGAAGAATCGTTAGAGACTTAAACCCTTTACCAGTATTTGCAGTCCAGCCACAGGCATCACACTTTCCAAAAGACTGCTACCACCCCCAAAAGGGTCAGAATTTCAAACCTGCATTTCTAGGCCCAGGCCAGGCCCAGTGAGAATAACATTATACTTTCTGAAAGATAAATACAAATTCCTTAATACAGCAAAATGGTCCCTCCCAGCATATCCAGGAATGTGTGATTCATTTCTGCATCCCCAGCACTTAGCACACAATAAATCATTGATTAAAAAAAAATGAGTAAACAGTTAAATGAATGTTATATTTTTAAACAAACACATATTTCTGCAAGATTACTTAGATATGTTACATATATTACAAATACACCAAATCAAACTTTATTGCTTTTTGCATAAATTTTTATTTAACCCATTTATGCTAACCAAAAATATTTCTCTACTTTTAAAAGGATGACTAATTATGCTTTAAATGGTAGCCTTAATTAATATTAATTTTAATTTATATGAAGTTGGATCCTTAACAAGTCAACATGCACAGATCCTTCCCAGATCTGCAGATTCTAAGTCTGTACACTTGGCTCCAAGGTCCTTGTTTATCCCCACACTTCCAGATTCTCACAGCGATAGAGAGTCTTACATACATTTTCTCTTTAGGGCTGGGATCATCACGGAAAGGCATCTTTTGGGCTGACTGCAGCCAGAGAGTAAAGAGTTTGGGCTAGAAGTTCTCCTCTCTGGGGGTCTCCAAATGTGAGGCATGACCACCATATTCAGAGAAGGGGCAGGAAGCTGTCGGAGCCTACCTGCCTTCTAGACACCCCATTTCATGGGCATTTCCCCAGTTCCTAGAAACTTCCCCCAGAATGTTCTAGGTGCTCCTCAGGTATAAGCTCTAAAGGACCAGAGAAAAGGTTGCCTTTCCCTTACAGTTTTCTGGGAGATGAACTATAAAGGAAATGTTTCATTCCTTCATGGAATCAAACCTCAAAAGCCTAATGTTCACAACAAGTGAAGACAATTCCTGACCCTGAATGCCATACTGGAAGAGAAGAAATAGTGCAAAGGACATTACTGAAATATGGATGGTAGAGTAGATGAAAGTATGTATCAATATTGTTGTCCAGTCACTAACTCATGTCCGATTCCTTGTGACCCCATGAACTGCAGTATGCCAGGCTTCCCTGTCCTTCACTGTCTCCTAGAGTTTCTTCAAACTCATGTCCACTGAGTCAGTGATGTCATCCAACCATCTTGTCCTCTGTTTCCCCCATCTCTTGCCCTCAATCTTTTCCAGCATCGGTCTTTCCTAATGAGTCATCTCATTACATCAGGTGGCCAAAGTATTGGAGTTTCAGCTTCAGCATCAGTCCTTCCAGTGAATATTCAGGGTTAATTTCCTTTAGGATTGACTGGTTTGATCTCCTTGCAGCCCAAGGGACTCTCAAGAGTCTCCTTCAGTAACACAGTTGGAAACGATCAATTCTTCAGCACTCAGCTTTCATTATGGTCCAACTCTCACATGCATACATGCCTACTGGAGAGACCATAGCTTTGACTATATGGACCTTTGTTGGCAATCAGTATTAACCTTACTAGAATTTAAGTGTACTTGGCTATGAAAAGAAAAAAATCTTAATTCTCAGGAAGCCTATACATACACATGAAGCATTCAGAAGTACAGAACTTTGATGTATGTGACAGCCTCAAATGATTAAGAATATTATATATTATGAATAGAAAACAGAAAATATAAATACATAGAGCGTGAACACAAATAATAATGCAAATGGTGTAAAATGTTAATAGATGAATCTGGTAAAAGGTATCTGATAATCTTTGCATTATTCTTGCAACTTTTATATAAATTTGAAATTACTTCTAAGTTAAAAGTTTAAAGTAAATAATTTAAGCCCACTAGCATAGATGAAATCAAGCTAGACCCTTTAACTATGACCAGGCCAGAGCCAGAGGCTGGGGATCATAAAGAGGAAATAAATGTTCCACTAAAGCAAGAGTCTACAAACTTTGTAGAGAACCAGATACAGTGATAAATACTTAGCCTCTATGGGCCTAACAGACTCTGTCACAACTAGCTAACTCTGCTGTCATGATGGTAAAGCAGTAACAGACAACATAGAAATGGTCATGACTGTGTTCCAATAACGTTCGGGGCTAGGTTTGGCCTAGGGACCACAGTTTGCTGACCCCTGAAGTAGATAATTGGGCGTATGGAATCTGACTTACTCCCATTACACTGGGGTTCCCTGCTGGGACGCATCCTTGCCTGGCTTCTTGTGGTGGGCTCCACCTTTAACCCCCGACACTCTGGAGAACCCTCGGCTTGGTCAGTTTGCAATGACTGACATCAGTAGTCTCCACTCCCTTCAGGAGAAATCACAGAGGGAAGCCCTCTCTTCCACAGGCGATCACAAGACAGCTAGGAGAATGCAGATGATAACCTCCACATTCATGAGGGAGTCAGATAGGAACGTCATTACAAACGCTGGTTTGGAAACAGAGGGAGAACCGCCCCCCCATACACACGTTGGAGAAGACTTCTCCACTGAAACCACAATCCAAAACTGTACAGTGAATGTTTGGTTTGCTTTATTTGAAGAAAAATAAGTTTCTACTTCAGTCCATGGTCCTGATCGGCAAATGGTCACGTGATGGGTACCACATCAAGACCTGGAGAATAAGAGCAACAGTGAGGGCTGGGGAGAAGCGAAGGGAGAGAACTTGGAGTGAATAGAGTTAAAATAACTTCCTTTGGCTGCTGCCTCCGCTGTCACCGGGTTGTAACCCTGAAGTCCTCCTGCTGGGCCCCCTGCTCTCACAGTCATCTGGCTTCTGCCCCATTTCATTACACTTCCTGTGCTGGGTTATAGGTTCCCACGGAGAAGACAATGCACCTGCCCCACCGAGGGCTGTCAGAGCGCCACTGAGGGACAGAGACTTGCCGAAGCTCAGCCAAACCTAGTCACTAACTCAGAGCCACCAACCGCCCCCAGACCAGCTGTCGCTCCTGTCCCAGAGCACTTCTAGCTTATGGTGCCTGTCCTGGGCCCCAGGGCCCCAGCTTCTTTAGAGGCAATTTTATTTGGAAGGCAGTGAACCTCCAGGACATGCAAAGAAGCAAGCAAACAAACAAGGCAAAAGGCTGGAGCATCTAGTACAGCTGATTTTGGAGACGAGTAGAAGCAGGGAGGTGGAGGTCAGTCCCTGGGCAGTTCTCTCGGACCAAGTCCCCTCCCTCTTTCTTACCTTTGTCTTTCAGATTCCACATAGAATGGACAGAGCACCCATCATGGGCTTGGCAGACACAGAGGTGATGAGGACAGAGAGAGCCCTTCCCCATGGAGCTGACCTCTGGCATGGGGTCCAAACAGTAAACAGGCAATTACATTAGAGCAAGCAGTGGTTCTCAAACTGAATGAGTACCGGGATAACCTGGAGCCTTGTGAAAGCACGGATTTCAGGGTCCTACCCCCGAGTTTTTTGTTTCAGTGAGTGTGGGAAGGGAGGTCTGAAATTCTGCATTTCTAACAAATATCCAGATTAGGCTGATGCTGCCCAAGGGCCTAAGGATGTCTAAGGACGATCTAAGGACACGTCTAAGGACGATTGTGTTATAGTGGGATTAGTGTCAGGAAGGTGAAAGCATAGGGTGGGATAGCAGAATGTAAGTGGAGGGTGATGGGGGGATACTGCCCAGACTCAAGTTAGGAAAAGCTTAAGCAGGAATAAGCCAGGTGAGATGAATTCCAGGCAGAGAGAAAAGCATATGCAAAGGAATGAGAGCAAGACTGGGTCGGGGGGCGGCGCGGCAGGCAGAAGGCGAGGAGGCGCCCAGCGCGGGCTGGGGAGGCCGGGGCGCGGCGCAGCGGCGAGAAGAGGCCGGGCGGAGGGCGCGCGGAGGGGCGCGGGCGCCGCGGGGGCCTGCCGGCCGCACCCGCGAACGCGCGGCGGGCGGAGGACGTGCCGCTCTCGGCCGCCGCCCTCCAGCCTGGCGCGCGGGCCCGGCGCGGGCGGGGAGCGGGTGCTTCTGCCGGCGCCTTCACCCGCTCTGCCCCGGGACCACTCCCAGGAAAACTCCGCGGCGGGGAGGCGCCCGCGACCCCGCCCCAGCCTGTGCGCTTGGCCTCTCTGAGCCCGGCCCGGGCGGGAGCCGAGCGGTGCGCGGGCAGCAGACGGCGCCCAGGTCTCTGCTCCAAAGCCAGTGTGGCCACGGGCCTTGTTCTCTGCCTCCTTGCTCTTCCTGGGACCCCGGAGACGCCTGGGCCTGAGGTGCCTGTCTTAGAAGGGCTCCTGCTCCTTACGCCCCCAGAACCCAGTGTTCCTGGGCCAAGAGGTGCCCTGGTGGCATCCTGCCCATTCTCCTCCACTTCCTACGCTCCTGGAGAACCAACATTTTTTCCTTCTGCTTCAGCTAAGTGCCTCAGGGGCCACATGGAGCCAGTGACCTCAGAGGAGCTGCACCCTAAGAACTAGGGAAATGATGTTAGACAAAAAGCAAATGTGAGCGATTTTCTTGAGTTCAAAATGGGTCATAAAGCAGTGGAGACAACTCACAGTATTAGCAGTGCATTTGGCCCAGAAACTGCAAATGGACCTACAGTGCAGTGGTGGTTCAGAAAGGTTTACAAAGGAGACAGGGGCCTTGAAGATGAGGAGCACAGTGGCTGGCCATTGGAAGTTGGCAAGGACCAACTGAGACGGTCATCAAAGCTGATCCTCTTAAAAATGCACGAGAAGTTGCGGAAGAATTCTGTGGTCATTCGACATCTGAATCAAATTGGAAAGGTGAAAAAACTCAGTAAGTGAATGCCTCATGAGCTGACCTCGAATAAAAAAAAAAGCGTCATTTTGAAGTATTTTCTCTTATTCTACACAATAACAACAAACAATTTCTCAATTGGATTGTGACATATGACAAAAAGTGGATTTTATGTGACAACCGGCAGCAACCAGCTCAGTGGTTGGAATAAGAAGCTCCAAAGCACTTCCCAAAAGCCAAACTTGCCCCCCCAAAGGTCATGGTCATTGTTTGGTGGTCGGCTGCCGGTCCAATGCAGCTTTCTGAATCCCAGTGAACCATTCCATCTGAGAAGTATGCTCAGCTAATCCATGAGATTCTCCATAAACTGCAACGCCTACAGCTGGCACTGGTCAACAGAAAGGGCCCAATTCTTCTCCACAACAACTCCCAACCCCACGTCACACAGTCAGTGCTTCAAAAGTTGAAAGAATTGGGCTACGAAGTTTTGCCTCATCCGCCATATTCACCTGACCTTTCCCCAACCCACTTCTTCAAGCACCTTGACAACTTTTTGTAGGGAAAACACTTCCACAACCAGCAGGAGGCAGAAAAAGCTTTCCAAGAGTTGGTTGAATCCCAAAGAATGAATTTTTATGCCATAGGAATTAGCAAACATTTCTTGTTGGCAAAACTGTGTTGATTGTAATGGTTCCTACTTTGATTAATAAAGATGTGTTTGACCCTGTTAAAAAAAAAAAAAAAGACTGGGTGGGGTTCAATTAATTTAATATGGCTGTAATTCAGACCAAGAGGGGCTCTGGTGAGAACAGTACTAAGGAAGCAGTATCTTCTTCTATTAGAATTTACCAAAATAAATGGTGGGAGCATGTTGTAAAAATAGGAAAGGCAAATGTGCATTTCTGTATGAGCCTAGAGGTCTCTTCTGCAAAAAAAAAAATTTAAAAATAACAAATCAGAAACCTTAGACTATGGGGATGGTGCTTTCTTCACTCCTGAGATTCAGAATGGTGGTACTAATTCTCCTCCCTTTGAAAATAAGCCAGACTAGCTTCTCAATTTTAATAGAAACTGATATGCTATGTGATTTTTGAGGTTTGACCATAAAAAGAATAGCTTTTTGGAGGGATTTCTCTGCCTCTTGAATCACTCTAAGGAAAGCCAGCTGCCATGCTGTAAGGACACTCAAACATCCTGTGAAGAGGCCCCCGTGGGGGATAAACTGAGGCCTCTCACCAGCAACCAGCCCCAACTTGGTAGGCATAAGTAATAACCTTAGATGTGACTCTCCAGCTCCAGTCAAACCTTCAGATGATAGCAGCCCTGGCTGACAGCTTGATGGCAATTTCATGAGTGATCCAAATCAGAAAATACTCCCACATTCCTGATCCATATTACTGTGAAGATAACAAATGTTTATTGCTGTGTTAAGTCACTGAGGTTTGTTTTGTTCTTGTTCAGTCACTCAGTCATGTCTGACTCTTTGTTACCCCAGGCTTCCCTGTCCTTCACTGCCTCCTGGAGTTTGCTCAAACCCTATTTGGGCTATTGAATCACGTCTATCGAGTCAGTGATGCCATCCAACCATCTCATCCTCTGTTACCCTCTTCTCCTCCTGCCTTCTATCTTTCCCAGCATCAGAGTCTTTTTCAAGGAGTCAGCTCTTCACATCAGGTGGCCAAAGTACTAGAGCTTCAACTTCAGCATCAGTCCTTCCAATGAATATTCAAGGTTGATTTCCTTTAGGATAGACAGGTTTGATCTCCTTGCTGTCCAAGGGACTCCCCCGAGTCCTCTCCAGCAATATGGTTCAAAAGCATCAATTCTTCAGCACTCATCATTTTTTATGGTCCAACTCTCACATCCATATTTGACTACTGGGAAAACCATAGCTTTGACTATATGGAACTTTGTCAGCAAAGTGATGTCTTTTCTTTTTAATATACTGTCTAGGTTTGTCATAGCTTTTCTTCCACGGAGCAAGTGTCTTTTAATTTCATGACTGCAGTCACCATCTGCAGTGATTTTGGAGCCCAAGAAAATAAAGTCTATCACTCTTTCCATTGTTTCCCCTTCTATTGGTCATGAAGTGATGGAACTGGATGCTATGATCTTAGTTTTTTGAATGCTGAGTTTTAAGCCAACTTTTTCACTCTCCTCTTTCACTTTTTCTGTGATCCAACAGATGTTGACATTTTATCTCTGGCTCCTATGCCTTTTCTAAATCCAGCCTGTACATATATAAGTTCTCAGTTCACATACTGTTGAAGCCTAGCTTGAAGAATTTTGAGCATTACCTTGCTAGAATGTGAGATGAGTGCAAATGTGTGGTAGTTTGAACATTCTTTGGTATGGCCCTACTTTGGGATTAGAATGAAAACTGACTATTTCCAGTCCCCTGACCACTGCTGAGTTTTTCCAATTTGCTGGCATACTGAGTGCAGCCCTTTAACAGCATCATCTTTTAGGATTTGAAACAGCTCAGCTGGAATTCTATCACCTCCACTAGCTTTGTTCATAGTGATGCTTCCTAAGGCCCACTTGACTTCACACACCAGGATGTATGACTCTAGGTGAGTGATCACACTGTTGTGGTTCTCCAGGTCATTAAGGTCTTTTTTGTACAGTCCTTCTGTGTATTCTTGCTTCTCCATCTTCCCTATTGAACTCTATGGGAAAAATTATAAATAGCTAGAGATTAGAAAAGGAAATGGCAACCCACTCCATTATTCAGCTGGGAAAGCCAGTGGAAAGAGGAAGCTAGCAAGCTACAGTACATGAGATTGCAAAGGGCTGCATATGATTTAGCTACTGAGTATGAGCATTAAGAGATATTAAAGAAAACCTAAATAAATGGAGAGAACTATACCACATTCATAAATGTGAAGACAATATTGTCAAGATGTTGATCCTCCTCAGGTTGGTCTATAAATTTAATACAGTTCCAGTCAGAAACCCTAAAAGATTTTCCTTGGAGCTTGATAAGCTGATTGCAACATTTATAAGGAAGAATATCGCCCAAGAGTTATCAGAACCTTTCTAGAATAAAAAGTCAAAGAAAAAAGTCTTGCACTAGCAGATATTAAGACTGAATGACTACCTGGCTTAAAGCCAGTTTAATTTGAGTGTCTCTCAATTCTTCTGCCAAGAACTCCAAGCTCTTGCCATAGGATGTGAATCTCGAAGGATCTAGCTTTGGTTGCTGGAGAAAACCGTTTTATAACTCTGAGAAGAGAAGCTGGTTGAGAATGCCCTCTACAGAGGAGAATGTGAGCCCAAAGGTGAGGAAAGAAAAGTCATTTAGAACTGCTCCTAAAGCTAGGTCTACCTCTAAGTTTTCAGTTATATAAACAATAAGCAGAAATTTTCTCTTGGCTTTAAACAAGTTTGGATAGTTTTCTAATAGTTGAAACAAGATTCTGACTGATATTCACCCATTTGTCAAACAACCTGAAATGCCATCATTAAAGATTTATTTAATGCATCTACTTCTTCACAGTTTTGTCCAGTGCAGTTTTGGATGAAAGTTAGTTTTCTGATCCTACTGTCTGGGGGTCAAATCTGGCTCATTGTCTGTCTTTGTAAATAAAGTTTTATTGGAACACAGCCATGCTCATTCATTTACGTATGACCATGGCTGCTTTTGGGCTTCCCTGGTAGCTCAGCTAGTAAAGAATCCTCCTGCAATGCAGGAGACCCCCATTTGATTTCTGAGCTGGGAAGGTCCCTTCGAGAAGGGATAGGCTGCCCACTCCAGTATTCTTGGGTTTCCCTGGGGCTCAGATGGTAAAGAATCTGCCTGCAATGTGGGAGACTTAGTTTCGATCCCTGGGTTGGGAAGATCCCCTGGAGGAGGGCATGGCATCAGTACTCTTGCCTGGAGAATCCCCATGGACAGAGGAGCCTGGTGGGCTACAGCCCATGGGGTCACAAAGAGTCAGACAAGACTGAGCCACAGCACAGCCATGACTGATTCTGTGCTGAAAAATGGCAGACTCGGGCAGTTATGACAGAGATCATATGGCTAAAATATTTACTATCTGGCCCTTCATAGAAACATGTGTATACCCTAGTCCCTCTGATGTCCTGCTCAATATAGTGTTTTAGAGTTGTCTTGCCTATTGAAATTTAGCCTGCCCAGCCCTGCATTCTGAAGAGGACTATATAATATGGAAAAAATTAGTTCCTGAGGGTGACTATTGAAACATCTCTTGTAATCTTTTAAAATGAAAGCCCAGTAGTGTGGGCTAATGCAACAATTGTCTGTCCTTTCAGGTTGGATTTCTTTAGAGAAGTCTCTGAACTGTGTCCCTGGATCCCCTCTCATTCCCTGCTGCCTGCCTACTCCCACCCCAATCCGTTCCTAATTAGCTGCCACTGCTCATTTTCCTTGAATCTAATGACTCTGGGGCAGGAAGGGTCACTAACAGGATAGACAGTGCAATTTGTCAGCCTTTCTATCCATCCCTTGGGGAATTGCCCAGAGCTGGGGAGAAGACTGCTCAGCACAAAATATGACTCAGGAATAACCAGATAGAGCTTCAAGATCAAACATCCCATCCTGTTTGTCTGATGAGACTGGGGTGCACAATTCAGTCCATGTCCCAAATATATGGATGGCGGGAACTGATGAAAAACCTGTGGTTGAAGATTTTCCTTTCTTTTTCCAAAGCTTAGTCAGTCATTCACCCCCAGGCACCTCTCCCTTCCCCAG